GGGTAGGTGTTTTTGTTCCTTCTGAAGTCCATGATCATCTGTTTTGTCTTCATTAATTAACATTGATGTGAAGGTTATTCTCTTTGCACCAGCTCTCCAGGTGTTCCACCTCTTGCCTGTAGCTGGACTCATCATTGTTTGTGATGCATCCCACCACCGCTGTATCATCTGAAAACTTTACAATGTGACAGCCTGGATGGGTAGCTGTGCAATCATATGTGAGCAGAGTGAATAGGAGAGGGCTCAGCACACATCCCTGAGGAGAGCCAGTGCTGAGGGTTATGGTGGAGGAGGAAAAGTTGTGGATCCTTACAGACTGAGGTCTGTTTGTTAAGAAGTCTAGGACCCAGTTGCAAATGGAGGGGCTTAGTCCTAGTGTGAATAGTTTATCCATCAGGGTTTGGGGGATCATGGTGTTGAAGGCAGATGTGAAGTCCACAAAGAGTATATGGACATACTGTAGGAGTCCTTCTGCTCCAGGTGGGTGAGAGCAGTGTGGACCACAGAGGAGATGGTGTCCTCTGTTGATTGGTTCTCATGGGATGCATACTGATGAGGGTCCTCGTTGATGTTGATGGTTGTTTTGATGTGGGTCATGACCAGTTTTTCAAAGCATTTAGCGACTATCAGGGTGAGGGCCACTGGCCGATAGTCATTCAGACCAGTCACTGTAGAGCTCTTTGGGACTGGGATGATGGTGGTGGTCTTCAGGCAGGTGGGAACTGTTGCCAGAGTTAGTGAGGTGTTAAAGATGTCAGCCAGTACCTCGCAGAGCTGATCGGCACATTCTTTCACAACTTTCCCGGGGATGTTGTCTGGGCCGGTTGCCTTGTGCGGATTAATCCTCATGAAAGTACTCCTTACTTCTGCTGAGGTCACACTCAGAAGCTCTTCATCCGGTGGTGAGGTGAGTCTGGAGCTGGGTGGTTTGTTCAGGTCTTCAAAGCGTGCATAGAACTTGTTGAGGGCATCAGGCAGTGATGGGTCTTTGGGGCATTGTTTGCTCCTGTTTTTATAATATGTTATACACTTAATGCCCCTCCACATGCTCCGTGGGTCTTGTGAGGTGACCCTCGATCATTTGTGCATACTGTATGTGGCCTTGGCCTTCTTAATACCAGCAACCAGCTCTTTCCTTGTTCTTCTCAGCTCCTGTGAGTATTCAGACCTGAAGGCAGTGTTCCTGGCTTCCAGCAGGGTGCGATCCTCTACATTCAGCCAAGGCTTCCTGTTCGGGTAGCTCTTAACATATCAGGTGGTGGTGACGTCATCAGCACATTTACAAAGTACTAATGTACTCCAGAACTGAGGATGTGTATTGTTCCAGGTCTGCCCCCCCCCTCCCCCATTTTCAGCAGCACCTCCAAATCTGTTCGTTCAAAACAATCTTTCAGTATGGAGCCACTGTTCTGGATCCAATATTTAATTTTCTTTTGTACAGGTCTGGAGCATCTCAGCGGGAGCAGGTAAGCAGGAGCCAGGACTATTGAGATATGATCAGAGAATCCTAGATGGGAGTGAGTTTGGCTTTGTATGTGCATCTTTTATGTTTGTGTAAACACGGTCCAGCGTGTTGTTTCCACGTGTTGATATGGCCACATGCTGGTAAAATCTTGGGAGGCAGTCTTTTAAATTCACGTGATTAAAGTCACCAGCCACTATGTAAAACGCCTCAGGCTGTTTGTTTTGCAGCGAGCTGAAGAGATCATGAAGAATCCACCGAGCGTCGTTACCATTAACATCCGAGACAATATAAACAACTGTTATGAACACCACTGTGAACTCACAGGGTAAATAATGTGGTCGACATTTCACTGTTAGCTGCTCCAAAGCCTTGGAGCATCAGTTTAGTGTTTTTAGTTCCAGGTCTGTAAGACAAAACAAAATCAAAGCAGCAAAAGAATAGTGCCCACCTGGCTTGTCTTAGATTCAAATGTTTTGCAATCTTGAGATATTCAATATTTTTGTGGTTCATCCATACTAGAAAGGGGTCCTTTACGCCCTTGAGCCAGTGCCTCCACTTTTCGAGAGCCAACTTGATGGCCAGCAGCTCACGTTCACCCACATCCTAGTTATGTTCTGAAATCGAGAGGCTTCTGGAAAAGAAAGCATATGGGTGAACCCTCCCATCGCTACCATGCTGACTGAGGACAGCTCCAACCCCAGTGCTAGAAACATCAACCTCCAAATTAAAAGGCCTGTTGGGGTCAGGCAGGGGGCAGAAGAAAACAGAGAAAACATCCTTGTTCCAGACAAACTTGTTTTTGGAAGATGTTAACGAGTGGAGAGGGCCAGCAATGGAACTGTAGTTCTTAATAAACTTCCTGTAAAAGTTTGTAAAACTAAGGAACCTCTGGAGTTGTTTCCTATCTTTAGGAACCAGCCACTCAGTGACCATTGAAACCTTGCCAGTGTCCATAGTGATTTTATCTGGGGAAATGTTGAAACTGAGAAACAAGGTCGAAGTCTGGTGAAACTCGCATTTCTTGGCTTTGACGAATAGATTATTTTGTAATAATCTGTCTAGGAACAACCTAACATGTTTGCAGTGGGAGTTTGTGCCATTGGAGAAGACCAGGATGTCATTGAGATAAACAAAAACGTACTGGCCCACCATGTCTCTGAGTATGTCGTTAGCTAAGGTCTGAAATACAGCTGGTGCATTAGTAAGGGCAAACGGCATTACCAGAAACACATAATGACCATCGGGGGTGTTGAACGCCGTTTTCCATTCGTCACCCTCCCTGATGCGGACCAGATAATAGGCGTTCCTCAGGTCCAATTTTGTGAACACGGTGGACCCTTGGATCAGGTTAAAAACTATGGACATGAGAGGCAATGGATATTTATTTTTAATTGTGATTTTGTTAAGCCCTCTATGGTCTGAGAGAACCGCACTGGTGTGCCAACAAAAAAGAAACCTGCCCTTGCTGGAGACGCTGAAAGTGTGATAATGCCAGCTTGAAAGGATTCTTTGATGTAGTTCTGCATGGAGGTGTGTTTTGGACCGGATAAAGAATAGAGGCTACCCCTAGGGGGTGTGGAACCGGGAATGAGATCTATAGCAAAGTCATAGGGTCCATGAGGGGGAAGATAAGTCACTTTGATTTTACTGAAAACTTCCTTGAGATCATGGTACTCCAATGGGACCTTAGAGAGGTCCGGGTAGGTCTCCTTAAGGTTCTCCAAATTGCAAGTAGGTGAGACAGCTTCAAAAGGGTAGGTGGTGAGACCAACCAACAATTTCTTTTCCCCTCCAGTTTATATGGGGATTGTGTTTGCTCAGCCAGGAACAACCAAGGATGATAGGGAGTTGAGGTGAATGAATCACAATAAATG